ACGTGGTATTTAACACGTCACTGACCACAAAACAAAGACTCATTAGAAAAGATAAACACATTATAATTCTGGATTATTTCATGTAACATAAAGAGCTCGTAAAGACGTAAAAGGAACACTGTCACGTCAGACGGTTCACTCACCTTATAGTTACGAAACAAGTTGGAATAAAATATACACAATGCACAAATATGTTTATTCAACTCATTTACATGAAGTTAAAAAGAAAAGTAACTTGAAAAATGAAAGAAAGTCATCTGATGTTTCAAAGAATGCTTCAACAGCAAATTATAAAAACACACGTCAAAAAGTGCCTCTTTTCAGATAAAACAAAAAAAACCAATTTGTTCTAATTTCCTCTAAGGACTGAAGAAGTGCTGCAACAACATTTCTAGAGAGAAGAAAATCTTTAGGGGGCGACTACATTAAAACAGAACATAACCACTGAGGCAGTTGATAAAGATGGTCACCTGCAGCATCTCTGGTATCTATGACAGCTACGTCACATTTTTCCTTCATTATTGCACTAAGGAATTTCCCATCGCTTGTGTGTACATTTTTGACACGAGTCACATTTGACATAAAATAAAAAATGTTATAGTCTCATTCTGACTTGTCAAGTCATCGTCAATGTCAATAATTCTAATTTACTTTTTCTACACATTACTCTGCATGTTGGCAGATTAGGAATGTGACATAAACACAAAGTATTCTACCTGTTTATGCATCATTTGTTTTATTCCTAATTAAATATGTGAAAATTATCGTTAGATACACTGTGGGTATGAACACATCCATCTCATATTTTTTGAGAAAAACTGTCATTTTACTGACAAATATCTCAAGATAATTTCATTTATGCCACATTTGTCTCTCACTTAGCACCACTCTCACTTCATGATGAAGGTAAATAACCTCCACATAATACTGTCCAGGCAACAACTGCCGCTGGAAGAAGTAAAACAAAAATCTCAAACTATGTGACATTTACAAAATACGNACTTATTTCAGTGTTGAAAACTGGAATCAGAATCAGTTTTATTTTCTAGTTGGTTTTCACGTTTGAGGAATCTGATGCATTACAGGAAACACTGACAAGTAGAGAATTTTAAAGGAGGATGAAAAGATTTAAAAAGTAAGCAAGTGTTACGAGTCAAATAAACAGCAAGTGTAGCAAATCTTGGGAATCTTAAGTGAAAAAAAGCAAAAGAAATATTGATAATGTGCAGAAATGTGCAAATGATCTACCTAAGAATGTATAAATGTACATAGCACATGGTGTGAGCAACCTGAGATGTGCAAAACGCTGCGTGCTAATGTAACGCATTTAGTGAATGTCTATGGAGGAGGGCTGAGGGAGAGAGGTGTCAGTGAGGATCTCTGACCTTGTTGATGAGGCCAGATGCTGTTGGGAAGAAGCTGTTATGTGGTGTGACTTCCTGGTATTAAAGTGGAATCAACATCTAACCAGGTCTGGATGCAATTTTAAGAAATTTAGAAAAGAAATCAAACGTTTTTCGTTGGAAAAACTACATCGTTCCACACATAATCTTATTCAAAGTCAGGCATTTAACTCTTGAAGCTTATTTTTAGCGGCTCTTTAACACTATTTGTCCAATATGACAGTATAATATTAATAACAGGAAGATATAAATATATTGTATTAACTGTGTCTTAATCTGCCTTTTGAGTCTTAGTTTCAGCAAAAATAAACAACAAGCCAATAATTTTGACAACATTTTTATCCTGCAGGTTACTATAGTTATTCCACACTAATGACCCAGTGCACCAACAGCATCCTCCAGTGTCTGAGGGTTGAACTTGCAGAGTTATTCAGTGTCGACACTTTGAGGCAGACTCCCACTTCCATGTTATATGATCCATCACCTCTGTAAGTAATCCACAATAGTTAAAATGACAACCAGCAGAACAGAGGGAACCTCTCAGTGTACTGTTGGTCCTACTGAATCGATTGTATTGTCAGATTAATCGACCAAATATGAATCAGAAACTATTTTCATAAATAATAGTTTAAGTCATTTTTCAAGCAAAAAGCGTGGAATATTCCCCAGTTCCAGCTTATGTGTGAGTATTTATGGGATGTGACATAACAAGGATTAATACTCTAACAAAATTCTGTATATTTTTATTCAGGTATCCATCCATCCATTATCTATACACCGCTTAATCCTCACTAGGGTCATGGGGGGCTGGAGTCTATCCCAGCTGACGTAGGGCGAAGGCAGGAGACACCCTGGACAGGTCACCTATATTTAAATAAATATCTAAGACAATTACAAAATGTCACATTAAGAATTTGGACTTATATTAATACTTTCTAGTGAGTGCTACAGTGGGGGCTTATGAAAGAGCTTTTAATGTGAAGTAACAATCTGGTAGAAGAAGTTCAGTACTCTTTGAACATATATGAACTGTAAAGGTTAAAGGGGGAAACATTTCTAAAGTTATTATCAACACATGGCAGGCTTATCTACTACATGGTCGAGGTTTCATTCCTAAAAATGTATAAATGTCAGTGATATGCAGCATGTATACGCTCACCATGAACTCAACTAAATCAGAACCACCTGAAGCTCTTACTAAATTAATATACTAATCACATGATAATGCATCAGGAAAAATAATAAAATATGATATAAAACAGCAGCCTGAAAGACTTGATACTAGTAGTACATTTAATCGACTCTCAGCGCCCTGGAGTTAGTTTGTAATTTAGCAGTTAATGGACACTTAATCGATTCTCCACTTTTCCTACATTTTAAGGTTGTTAAACCCGTTAGATGCTTCAGGGAGATGCTTAATAGTGAACTCTAGTTTTAATTTGAGAAAGCTTTATTCTGTTTGAGCTAAGAAAGCTAAGAAAAATGTCACTGTTTCTTTTGTGTGTGGGTTACATTAGACCAGGTCCGGGCTGCAAGGTGAGCAGTGGTTAGCAC